GGGAACTTTCAAAATTGACACAACTTCACCCTAAACGGACTTTCGTTTTTTTTATATAATTGTTACTCACTTAGGGTGAGGCTCTTGGACGTCTTAATGGACGCCTTTCTCTGTCTCTTGTCGCCGAAATTGGCGAACCAGGCGCTGAGTTTGAGTCCGCTACCGGTGAAAGAACTGAAGGTGCTGCTTTTGTGCAGCACTTTGATGTCCATGGCTGCAGCCACTTGTGTGTCTGTGTTTATCCAAAAGACGAGTGCTCCCTCCGCACGCTCACTCGGCAAATCGCTCACGCACCGACTGACTGGCCGAGGGACAAAGTTGCTATGCCGCGATTCCATTCCCCAGCTCTCGCGTGTGCGCACCGATCCCCCCCTTCTATACTCGAGCACCAGCTGATTCCGTTTGGATCTGCCGCCGTGGTTTGACGACCTTTCCTTCAGGGAAAAACTACGGCCGACGAGGCCAACGCCACCCTGACTTTGTCACAACCAAGGGCGGCCGACCCTGATAATAAGTGATAATTGCGCTAGAGCCAAATTTCAGTCTTAATTTTGTTCCTGAATTTTTTTTTTCATTGTATAGTTTGAAGATGATTAATAAATATTACAGATGATAATTTAACATTAACTATTTAAGTTCACATTTTTTTATTGAAATTTTCTTAAATTTTCAAACAATCTGACTTTTTTGTCAGATCAAAATGTGGATTTATTTCAGACCTCTTTTTTAATTCCGTTTCTTGTGTAGGCTCCAAAAATCTCGAATAATACTAATACAAATTTAACAGAGTTTGAAGATTTAAGAGAAAATAATCCATGATGTTCGTAAACAATTGAAAATTGGCTTAATCTTGATGAAATAATAAAAGATTATAACCCAAAGAAGGCGACAAAATAACAAACTTGGCAAATATTTGAAACAAAAAGAAGACTTTGATAACAATAAGAAACTCAAAAATTGGTAAATAAATTGAATTTATGCCTGTGATAACGATAAATAGTATATTTAAATATAAAATATAAATTATCAAATGTGGGTGTGCAGAGTGTGCACGTCAGAGTTTTATTGACGTTGATGTCGCTTGTATAATTTTAATGAAATTTCAATAAAAAGTATACAAATAATTGACAAGAATAATGTTTATAATTCTTTAAATTTTGTAGAGTGGTTTTCATGTTTAATTTTAAATAAGTACAAATGAAAAAAGAATACTAACAAATTTATGATAAAAAATGGAAATCAATCAATTTGATTAATATAAAATGATATTTAAGTATTCTCATTACGTGGATAAAACACGTTTTGTTAATAATTTGAATATAAATGTGACAAAATTCAATCCCAATAACAAAACCTTATCGGATTTCAGATAAATAAACACTAAAACTGACCTTCTTTGTCGTGTTAAATATGATTTTAAAAGTAAAAAATTGTGGTTTTTCACCAGTCGATCTTAAAATATTTTTGAATTGCACCTACAGACTTGTAAGATATAATCATAAATATCCAATGACAAGCAATGACAAATAAACCAAAACTTGAGATATGTGATAATAACACAGTCTTTCCCTCATAACCCCCAGAAAATGTCAAAATTGCGATTATTTTATCTAAATATTTCAGTCAAATTCTAGAATGTTTGGCTGAATAAATAAATATTTCTGTATAAACTTCATTCTCGCTATTAATTAGAAATTCAACACCAGCGTCTTGTTCGACGGCGGACGTTCGAGACAATAACAAATTGCTAATCGCGGGTGCGTAATTATCAATAAAGTGTTGCTATTCAGTGAGCGACGTTTCCGACTTCCCTTGGGTCGCGAATCAGCCAAAACAAATCGCCCTTTGCATGCGAATCGACCGCCAAGGCTGCGGGCACAGGAGTTTGCTTGTTTGATGACTCACACCCACTTTTCCTCTCCATTCATCGGCAAATTCAATAAGCTCGGCCTTGGGCAATAATTGTAATTGTATTTTTTTTCCAAACAATGAAAAACTCATCTGAAAAAATTACTCATTTTCGCACCAACTCGAGCTTGAAAATTCGCACAGAGTGAATAAAAAGTATTTATATGACCCACGGAAAATGGGTCGGATTTTAAATTGTAATTTTGATTCAGTCGTTTAAATATTTTATGAATCAGCTCGTTGGTGCATGATTTGGAATTCAGCTGGAGAGAAGAGAGGTGAGTCACGATCAGCTGCACTACTTCACAACAAAGGCGTGATTTTTCACTTGCGATGGGAGCCACTCTAATCGCGAGTGAAAACGCGATTGTTCTCACTTTACATCGGACACAATGAAATAAATATTCGGGTGACAGTTTGAGAAGAAAAATTTAAAAGTATTATTCAACTAAATAAATCATTCTTTAAAAAGAAAGTAAAAATGTACTTTCTATGTAAATTACTTTAAATCTCTATTTTATTAATTATTGCATTCAATTAATTATATATTTTTCTTAAATTTTCTTACTAATTTTATTTTTAAGAGTGGCTGGTCAATAATTTACTACATTTTACCTCTTTTTAAAATTATTGTAATAAAATTTTTTAATATTTTTCATTTTTTTCTAGTTCTGTAAAACTCCTATTAAAAATTATTTTTAGGAGAAGTTAATAGTAAAAAAACTTTTAGTCCATTATATGATTTATCATTTTTCATAATAAATTATTTTCAGGGAATGCTTTAAATTTATTTTGTCATTAATATGGATGATTTCATGTATGGGGCATAGTTGCCCTCAGTTTTTGAACCCAATAAACAAATTTCTGAAACTAAATTTATTATTCATTTTATTTCCGAGTGAATTTTGAAATTTTAAAAAGATATTTTAGCTGAAGTATTTCATTAAAAGCCAAATAAATTATTAATAGAAGTTAATAAAACAATTTAATACTCTGATATTTAACGATTGATCCAATTTCAATAAAAATGGAATTGAAAGTTTACGTTTTCAACCACTTAAAAAAATTATATATTTCACAAAGAAATTTAAGAATTTTCTCTCTCCTGCACGAAAGAAACTAAATTAACAAACACTCTAGTTGGATTATTTCCACGTTCACTTTTCCCACCTGGAAAAGGGCTGACGTCAAAGCGACGCCCAAGAGGGGCCGCTCGCTCAGTTTTCGCCAAATGTCAGCGCACTCGAGTGGCAGTGACGTCAGCAACGCAGGATCCTCTTGTCAATTTTTCGTGTTCGCATCACCGACATTATAATTCCCCTCGCTTTGCTAACAAACCCCGGGATGTGCGACAACCGACCGTGTTATGCAAAAAACTTGCAATCGACCCTTGTAATCATCTTTTATTCTGTCAGAGCTATTTCCGACAAAACACAATCGCTTTTAAACTGTTTATTGCAATTATGAAAACAAGGAAGGAAAATCGAACAAAAGTGGTCCAATAGAATTTTGTAACTGGATTACCTCTTCATTACATATCATGCGGTAATTTTGTATGACCCAAATAATGAAAAAAAACTGTAATAAGCTCATCAAAACAGAAAAACCTTTCATTTATTCACATTCATAATCTTTTGTGCTATTTTCTTCAATGGTTAAAAAATTATTTTAATAGAATATTTAAAGTCTGACAATGAAAAATATTTGGAAATACAAATCAACAAATTTTCTAACTTCATTGCTATTTTAAAATATTATTAATCAGACTGAAAAAAACCAAACAATAAAAATTAGATTTCCCATACATTTATTTGCGATTAATTTCAGGAAAGTTTTAAATTATTTCCAGTTGATTTTGAGCTTTATATTTCTCAAATTAATGTTTCTAAGTAAATCATAAAATTATCTTAATTTTCTGTACCAATTAAATTATGTAAAATTATTATTCACTTTCCCCCTTTTCCATCTACCAAAAATTAAATTTTAATGTTATTAAACATAAAATGCAAGATTATTGGAAGAGGTTTTTTAACTTGCGTAAAATTTTAAAAACAAAAAATTTGAATGATATTATTTATAAATCTTAATTTCATGATAGAAGATCAAATTTAGTATTTTTTTTCAGCATATTTAGGTTGCCTCGAATCGAATGTTTCAATCGGCTCAAAATTTTATTACTTCGTCACTTCGAATTTATCAAGCTTGAAGATCAAATTTACAAACAAAATATAGTCTCAAATATTCCCAGTTATTCTATCATATTTGTTAATCCCTTGTTATAACTTGTTTGGCTTCATTTCATGTGCACTTAAGAAATAAACGATTGACCAAGGCCAGAGAAACCCTTCTGATGAACAAGCAGATTACATAGTTTGTGATTTATCCAAATAAATTTTAAAATAAATTGAAACATTTATTTAAAAAAAAAACGATGAAAAAGTTAATTTACTCAAATTCAATTATTTTCTTTTTAATTAAATGAAAAGAAAAATGTTTAAAATTATTATTCATTGGGTTGAAACCACACACGTGTGTCATTATTATTTTCTTCTAATAAAGAGAGGCGCACCTGAATGGGAACGTCTGCTTTTTTGATAAAGGTCTAAGAAAATAAACGATAAGCTGCAATTTCCTGCTGAGATATGGGCAATTCAGATTGTTTCGTGCTCAGCACAGAAAAAAATGACTCAAGTCATCGAGCGATAACTCTTCAGCTGCTTATCTCTCTCTCGCGTGTGCATTACTGAAGAGAAAGAATTATTATGCAACAGCCTCGGACGTTATTCAATTATTCAAATTCTCAAAAATCATGCAACTGGGACAAATTCCTGTGATTGATGGCGAACCTCGAATTTTTTTACGACTGTTGCTTCGATTTACTTTCTTTCAATAAAATTGAGACGCAAAAAGTTATCAGCTGAAAGCGGAAGGTTGACTTTGCACCGCAGTTTTTTTTCGCTGCCCTTTGACGCACGGCATTTTCCGCCCACTGCTTATCGCTCCGCAGAATTGCTCAAAAACCTTGGCCTTGGCAGTGTCCGGCCAAGTTCAAACTTGCGAAGACGTCAACAAAATTAAAAAGTCGAACTCACCGTGGTTGAGGTGGAAGGTGTCGAGGATGCGTGAGTGCGAGAGAGACAGCTTCGGGTTGTAGTCGCCGAGGTTTGAGATTTTCTGGCTTCTCAAACACACAACTGTGGAAAGATAAATTTTATTAATTTAATAAGTTTTTCATTAGAAAATTTTGGAGAATTTCATTATTCACGTCGAGAAATCTTAAATTTTGTTTTCTCAAAATAAAAATTATTCATTTTTTATAAGTAGAAAAACAATATCATAAAGCTCTCTTTAGCGATTGTGAATTTGTATACTTAAGAGTAAATTTAGAAGTTTTATAAAAGAAATTGCATGTCAAAATCTACAAGAATTATGCGGATCAATTATTGAATTTTTGATGCTGTTTTTTTTCTAAACAAAAATAATTATAAATAAGTAAATTAATTTTCCAAATAAAATAAAAATTTCTAAATTTTTTTTTACGAAATAATTGTAAATACCATTTCCGTTGTCCTTTGCGTCGACGTTCTCCTCGATGGCCAAGTGTTCGGCCAATTCCGACAGCGAACTCTCAATGCTGAAGCGGAAGGTCTGCGAAAGGCGGCGCCGAATCTTCTTGAGACTCATCTTGCAAAGTCGGCGCCGCGCCGAATCTCTCTCACGCCGACCACATTTGCGCCAAACAGTCTGTCGAAAAGAGGAAAACAAAGTTCAGAGTCCAGTTGAAATATCAATTCTTCGAATTTCGGCAAATTGTTAAATTCGCATACAACTGCTGAGGCGGATTGTTGGTTTTCCGAATGGCAAAAGGTCAGTTCTTACCTGTGGACGTGACTAGACGTCGACCGCGGCGTCGCGGGTGCAGGAAATCGGCGCCGAAATTGTTTATTTACAGCGGAACAGTCTTCATGCCCAATTGGCAGCCATGTTGCCAGGGAATTTTTTTTATTTGTAATTGACGCCTGTAAATTCCGGCAGGTGGCAGCACCTGCGGGGGAATTCAAAAGAGATCTGCCCCGTCAATGACACGAATAAAAAAAGCACATAATTTAAATTGGTAAAATTACAAAAATCAAGTTCAGAATAAAATTTTTACCGAAATCACTGATCATTCTAGAAATTTGTTTATAAGAAAAACAGAAGAAGAAAAGGAATCCTTATTGACATATTTATAGTCAAATCAAGTCTTTACAACAATAGGAGCAATTTTTGGCAATTATTCGAAATTTAGCAAACGATCGATTGCTGTAAAGACTTGATTTGACTATGTCCTTAACACCAAAAAAATATTAGGGGGAGATAAATTTTTTGGAAATAAAACACTTTCATGTGTGTGCAAATATTACCCATTTATTATTTTTTTTAGTATTTTAAATTAACAAAAAATAAGAATAGAATATATTCCACTTCGTCACAAAGTTCGTGAATTGCCTAATTGCCTGTGGCAAGCAAATAATATCAGTAAATATGGTGTTATCATTTTTTAGACGTGCAAAAAAGTTTCCATGATTTTAACAAAGAGAGGTGCCACAAGTTTTATCCTTTCATAATAATTTTTTACTACTTCAGTTGCGCAGAAAACTAGTAAAGGGATGCATTTCAATTTGGCATATTTAAAATGACAAGACTTGAAACACCAGTGTGATTTCTATCACCTCCACGGAACTTCACACGCAATGGGTAGTCCACAGAAACAGAATCAGGCAAATACTGAGCCAAAATTCTATAACTGCTTGAACCAGACGGGTTGAGGTACTTGACAGATAGCTTGTAATTTATGTTTGCATCAAGTACAATCGGAATCCTAGCTTTGTAAAAATTCAGAATCCCATCATAATCTTCTGTGGATCCTTCGTAGATCGTTTCTTGCTGCAAGCCAGTTATTTTGAATTCTGCCTGAAAACTATGGCATGCAGTCACAAATTGGACTGGCTTCAATTTCAGCCCAATAAATCTGATGGTTCTGTTTGTACTGAATACAAAACTGTAGGCATCAACTGGATTAAAGTAATTCATGGAAGAGCCTTCAAAATCTGCAAAAAGTAAATCTGTGACCATGAATCTTTGCAAAATTTCAGAGCTGAAGTTTTCTGGCAACTTTTCTGCCGATTTACAGATTATACCTTCCAGTATTTGCCACATTTCTGAATCACTGAAAATTTTCACTTTGCTGTCGATGCAAAGCTTGGTAAAATGTTGTTCCTTCATTGCAAGGAATCGAATCTTTTCCAGGGGCTTGCTGATGGCCTCTCTTACCTGGGAATCAGTTGGCTGCCCATTTTCATTTAGCTCGGTCGGCGGGACATTTGCTGCTCCCCACTCAATGAGGCCTTTGAGTAAATCACACTCACTGGCGATGGAGAGATAGTCCTGAATCAATACAGCATCGACTAAATCCAGGGATGCGGTTTTCCATTGTTCACTTTCAAGAAAATTTAGGGTGTTGGCCAAAATCATCTGGAGGGTTATAAAAATAAGTGTCAAAAGTGTGAAGAGTGTAAAAAAAAAGAATCCAAAATACCCTCATGCAATTCTGCATGCCAACTTTGTGATTAATCATCTTGAAGATGCCATACATGAAGGCCACATTTTCTAAGGTCAGTTTCATCGAAATTAGGAATGAGTCTGCAGCTTCCTTCAAGCTTGTGAATTGCCACTTGTCAGCAAACACATACATTTCAGCCGTCTTAGGGATATTTTCAAAGGATTTTTTCTGGCCAAACGTGTACACAAACCTAAGTAAGGATGAATTAATATCATAATTTGAATAAAATATTTGCTTTTTTTTACCTCATGGCTTCTTCAAAAACGTCTGGGTTTGTGTCATCAATTAGGATTTCATCAGCAGGACCTTTGCCTGCCTCGCTGAAATCGCCACGGAACATGGCTTGGAAAACTTTGCTTGAAATGCACAAAATGAATTTGTGACATCTGACAACCTATTTAACAAAGAAATCCAACAATAAATCTGGAATTTATCGTGAGGGTCAAATTTGAATGAAATATTTACCCTTTCACTGGATTTGTTCCTCACTCGGAAGCTGCAGTCGTACATCGCAGATGATTCAAACAAATTTGAACTTTCGTCCACTAAAGAAGCGTCAAGCATGTGTTTCGGTTCCTTTTCTTCCTCATTCCTTTCCTCGGGACGGAATGGTAATACAGGAGGTCTTAACGCTCTGATGTAGTCCCCATTGTTCTTTAAAAAGACAGAAATGATGAAATTAGTTTTTTCCGCTTTTTTGCATTCAAATGGAACGACGAAATTGGGGAAATTAAAAAAAAAATATATATAACAAAGCTTAACAGGCGTCTGATCTTGATTTTTACTGATTTTTACCATATTTTCCACATTCATACTATAACGGTAGCAATTCTGCGCGGGAGAGTAGATGACGTAACCGAGATCAACATTATCAGGACCTCTTCCAGCCATGCCAAAATTATTCATATAATTCTGTCCAGACAATTGCAAAAACAACGATCCGCAGAACGGACAACAAGATGGTGTGCTAGCAGCAGCTACACCTTTTCGTTTGATTCGACGCGGTCGATGGACACTTCGAAAGGAACCGAAAAGGTCTACTTATTTGACCTCAATTGGCCCCAAACCCAAAATGGCCAAAATCTCTACTTTATAACAAGACCGTGGGTGTTGTCCTGTTGTCTGTTGTGTTATGCCGTTTTTTTTCCCACAGAGTTGAATGAACTCTGATTTTTTCGTTGCTTGAAGAGAGTACTTAAATTCGCCGCGAGATGGCATCTATGGTTTATAAGGCAGCACGGCTCCTGCTGCTTCTTCATCGATCCGTTTTCCACCGTTGGCGCCGTTTTAATCATAAAAATTTTTAAATTATTCATCCTTCATTCATATTATTTACTGCGACGTCCAAAATACAAATTTATCTAAATTCTGGTAAATTGGAACGAGAACCCCGATACCGATATTTTATAAAACTATTTTTTGAATGAGATTGACTTGTATTATAAAATTGAACTTTAGATTATAAATCGCGTCATTTTTTTTTTTTTTTATTTTAATAAGGAACAGATCAACAGATTTTCACGGCACATAAAATTATACTTAAAAATATAAAAAAGATTAAAATTCATTGAATCAGAAATTTCCCTCTTTTTGAGCGGGTAATCTATTTGGAAATATTAAAAACTAAAAAGTCTAAGAAAAAATTTTGCAAAAAACACATTAATATATGATGTATTAATTATAACTTCTTATAAATCGATAGTATTAAATTTTGTACATTTTATTTTCAATTTGTTTTATTCCTTCCGTAAAAAATATGGGCCTTTTTTATTATATTATGTAAATTTGTTAGCTAATGACACGTGTAATTAGCGAGAGGTAGCTGCTGTCCTCAGTGCATTGTGTCGCATTGAATTAAATTTAAACTGACATATGTGTGAATTCTTTTTGATGGAAAAGTATAGTTGAAATTTTTCTAGGAGGAATATTTAAGAAATTTTTATTTTTGCAATATCCGAATTTCCAGGATATAGATTTTTCTGCTCCAATATAACACTTTTACCATTTTGGGGTAATATAACAATAAAAGGTCCTTTGTGAATGCAAATAAGGTGTCTAAAGCACAAATGAAAAATTGTACACTATATATTTTTTATCTTTTTGGTATGAGGCTGTGAAACAAAATTTCCTGAAAATATATATATTTTCCTTTTTATCAAAATAAATTTTTGATATATGTGCATTGGGTTAACTTATTATTTATTATCGATTGATAAGCTTTCATGGGACGGCATCACAACCTATAGTATTATCGAAAGTATCTTATCTAACTGACGAATCAAAACCGCAAAGTGGTATTCATTTGCAGCCCATCCTGGCGCAGAACAAATTGAGGCCTCCGACGAGTTTCAGTGTTGTCGCTGTTTTTAGTTTTTTTAACACATTTTTTTTTATTTTCTTTTTTATTTTGAACTGGATTGAGGAAAATAAACAACAAGCTATAATTCTAAGCACGCTGGGCTATGTCAGGGAAGTTGAAAATCTCGAATAATTATTCAATTTTATTCCTGCTCAAGCTTTTTTTATTGTCAAGTGCAAGTGCTGGTCCTCGAACATGCCTTAGTAAGTTTTGTTTTAATTATTAAGCTTTCAATTAATCTGATATAAAAAGACCTCGGTGAAAAATGCGATGTGAAAAATGACGATTGCTGCATTTTAATGGAATGTGTACCGAAAGGTGCAAACGCATACTGTGTGTGCGAAAAAAGCTATAAACCTGGAGGAGACCACAATCAAGAATGCTTGTAATTAACAAATTATTTCAGCGTTTGAAACAATAATTTAATTATAATTTTCAGTTATGATATGCCACTTCTTGCGGAAATTGGTATAGGGATGGTTGGGGTTTTGGCAGGCATTGTATTTTTAAGCTTTTTTATGACACAATGCATCATAAGAAGGTCACAAAATTTTCATTCAAACATCGCAACAGTGATTAAAAATAAATATTTTACAGGAATCGAAGGAGGCAGATGGAAGCGGCAACCAATTCACCAAATCGAGGCGTTTTTGAAGGAATCCAGATTCCGGCGGATTTGGCGGAAAATGAATCTGAATCCGTGCGCCCCCAGCAATGAGAATAACCAAAAAGCAGTTACTGGGTGCAATTAAATAAAAACTTATTTAACTTATTAAGCTTTTTTGTAAATTAATGGAGGAGAGGGGAAATAAAATGTCAAAAAATATAAGATTTTCTTCGTTTACGCGCTGTTCTTGTAAATTGAATAAAAAGTGAGAAACATCAATTTTTCAGATAGAGATTTTCTTAACCTATTTCCAATTTTTATTCTTATGTTTGTGTTTGGAAAATGACATTAATTTCTGGCATGTCTGAGGGAGGCATCAGTTATTGAATTATAACGATACATAATAAATTTTTATTTTTTATTTACAATATAAAATAACTTCTAGTATAAATTTTTACTTAAGACGGAAAGCTGTTTAGTAAAAATTAAATTATAATTTGCACTTTTTTTTATCATAATCTTTGAAATTGATCACTAAAAGCCTTGTGTTGTAACATTTCAATGTTTTATCTGTTGTGCGTAATCAGAAAATAACGTAACCAGAGATAATATGGTGATTCAAAAGTAAAGCTAGATTGCGGCCTTGTTATAGTTTTCTGAGAGCTGAGAGTCAATATATTTTGTTGAGAAAAAATGGACCTATCTAAATCAGCGAATTTGTTTTTGGAAGTCGTTCAGGGCAGCCTTAAAGCTTGCATAAGTAAGTCACCAAATAATTATTAAATTCTGAATTCAAATTAAAATAAATTTCACTTGTTATCAGATTTGGGAGAAAAGTGCCAAATTGAGTCAGACTGCTGCGAACTTTTGGACTGCATTCCTAAATATGACAATGAATACAACTATTGCGCCTGTGTTTACAGCTATGTGCCAGGTTTTGACTCAAACAACATGCCTGTTTGCGTGTAAGATTAAAAGTTTTTGTGAATTTTAACAATTAAGAGAAAATGAAAATTCAATAAATTGTGATCCAATTATTTTTGCGGGTTATAATTTGAATTTTTACTAAAAAAAAATTGAAGGTAATAAAATTTATATTAAAATAGCTGAAAATCTTAAACATGTGTGCTGTTTTTTTTTTTTTTTTTTTTAAATCAAATTGTATATTTTCCTCAAAAATTGCTTCAGGAAAACTGTTAAGAATCATTTTTCAAAATTTGAAGGAAAATAAAATTAAAATAAATTACAGGAATTCAGAGATTTGCATTTAACTTATAATAACGATTTTTCAAGTAAAAAAAAAACTTAAATTAATCTAATTAATTTTTCTTTAGTTACAGTATGCCCTATGCTTGGAGGATTGTTCTGGGGGCTGTGGGCACTCTAATAGCATTGACTGTTATAGGCTTTCTATTGAAATTCAGAGCGGACAGGTTTTTTTTTATTTTAACTAATTTCATTATATTGAACCAAAATTTTTGATGCCATAACTAGGAAAGCGGCACGAGAATCTGCGGCTACTGCTGCCGTAGCGCAAGAAACGACCCCGGGAGTTTTCGAGAGTGCGGAATTCAACATTGCCGATTTTGTTGTTCCTGCACCTGCACCCTCGGCACCGAGCAATTTGCAAGAGTTTGATCAACCACCCTCTTACGGTTTTGTCATGGGTGATGAGAATAATGATTTGTCTGCTAAAAATGACGATTAAGAACTTTCTATATTTTATCAATTCAATAAATTTTTAATTTTGACTGGAAAATTTTGTGATACAAAAATGTTTGAATATATTTATTGAGTGATTTTAATATTTTGTGAAGATTTCAATATTGAATATTTTATTGTAAATTTTAAAATTATAATTATTTGTTTCGTTATGTACGGTCTTACGGGTCGTGTGACTCGCTTGTGTTTTAACATGAAATAATGTGTCTAAAATCGGGCAATTTTTTTTAACTTGTTTGATTTTTCATTCTATTTGTATAGCATAAAATAAATATTATTATAATCCTATGAAAATATTTTTAAATTGATGAAATTATTATTTTGTGTCCAGTCTATTATTTCTTTTTATATGGTGCGACTTCATAAATTATAAAATACGTTCAACATTTTATAATAATGTCAATTATTATTAATTTATTATTTTTATATCGTTATTTAAACGCATCAATTGAAAAATTCGTAAGTCATTTGTTATTTATATTTTACATCAAAATTATTCTAATACTTGAGAATTCCAAGAAATTTCCACGCTATTTTAATACATTCCACACTGTGGTCAAATCTCGTTAAATATGAATAATGTTTCGACCCTTTTACATGCAAAGTGGCTTTTCCTGAATTAAAAATCTCTCTTACCTCCACTCAGCCAGACTTTGTGAACTCTCTGCTGCTTTTCCGAGCCTCATTTAAGCAAGAGTGCTCCTCCGGATGGGCAGAGTTGCTCTATTTTGCAATCTCGCCTTGAATTAGATGCCACAGAACCATCTACCAAGCAGGCTCCGCTCAAAAAATACAAAATACAAGAGAAAAATAAATATATTTATCTTCCAATATTTTTTAAAAACACAGCACAAAAAGGAGATATTTAAAATACAAAATAAAAAGGAAAAAAAAGCAATCCATCTTTTCCGTTATAAATGAAAGTTCGACTGAAACAATTATAAATTATGCTGAAATTTCAGAAATATCGTTAATTTATGCACCTGCCCCATTAATAGAGGGCACCTTAATTAATTGTCTGGAAAATACATATTTTTTTTGTCTAAGGAAACTGCATAGCAATTTAGCAAAGCAAGTATAGTGAACAAGCAAGCCTCATGTAAATGTTTAACTCACTCTCGGGGCAAATCAAGTTGAAAATCCAGAGCCGCGCGTGTTTGATATTATGTTAATGGGGCAGCTCTGAACTACTAGACTAGACTCGCGGCCCAGCTGCCGCGCTCTGCGCCGTGTGGAAATGAGAGAGACGAGAAACACAAACCTCTCTCGTCGCGTCGCTTTTCTTCCGAGTGCAAAGGCAAAGAGATGAAAATTGATGCAGCGCGGCTCATTTCACACAGAGCCATATGCTCATTTCAGCAGCATTAATAATTTGCAACCCGCTGCAAAGTAAATTGCCATATATGATGAGCTGTGGAACGCTTTAATTAATAAATAGTAATTAATTTTATTTTAAAAAGAAAAACACAAAAACCTTAACAGAAGGTTTAAATCAAAATAATTTACTTTGGGCAAAAATTTTACACATTCTGAATTGATTGTAAAAAAAGTTTTTTGGGTTTATTCTATAATTCAGGTAATTTGCTGAAGGGACAAGGCACCGGAGGTCGCTGATCAAATCATCCAAGACTAATCATCAATGTTGTTAAGTTAAAAATAAATTAAATTGAAAAGAAAAAAAATCACACGCATGTTCATGTCAATTTGAAAAACCCAAAATTGCAATTACATGGAAAACCAGCAAGTTTATAGACGTAAGATCACCTTTAGTTAATGGCTTAACTAATTAAGGCGTCAAGACCCAGCTTCGCCTGATTCTACAAGTTTAATTTAATTGTCTGTGAATCGTTTCGATTGATTCGCTCCCAAAAAAATTTGCATGCATTTTCGTAAACAAAATTAATAATATTGATTGAGTTTGAATAAAATTTTAACAATTTGGAACTGTATTTTTTTGCTCATATATATGTGCACTAGATTTGAATTTAAATCGGCAGAAGAAAGCAAACGGAATTCGATGCGGCGCGCAGCTGGCTCGCTTGTCATTTCACACAATCCTCATTTCAAGTGTAGCATTAATAATTGTGCAACCGGTAAATTTTAACGTTGTGAAAAGATCAGTTATTTTTATTTTAAATCGGATACAAAAGATTTTCCTATTTATTAAAATTAACGTGTAATTTTTCTCATTTGATCACTCAGTAGTTTTGATTTAAATTATTCTTGTTAAAAAATTAATATATTGATATATATTGTGAATCTTTCTCGGTAAAAATTAAGAAATTATTTTCTTTCCAAATTAATTGTATCAATTATGTATGATTGAAGAAGGGCCTAAAAATTATTCTTGTAAATATTTTTTATGCTAAAACAGCATTAATAATAATTTAATAATTACATTTGACTCTAATCCAAGAAAGGAAAACACTCCCCTGCCCCTGAAAGTGCGAAGTAGTTCTTTGGGAATTATTTTATTTTTTGAATTATATTTGAATTTAATAATTTTATATTTTATCTTTGTTTATTTTTCCATTGTTACAAAATATTGTTTATATGCAATTGTTGAAAACAATTAATTTATTTGTGAGAAATAGTGGAATTGTTATACAAAACGGCATCACCACTAGCAATAATTTTGTTTAAAATATCTCTGAAATAAATAATACCTCATCCGCCGCAGTGAGCCTTTATTCTTTATAAAATACATCGTCATATTCTTATTCTACCCTCTCATGCAAAAATGTCATGAATTTCATGCTCTCTCCTGTTGGAGCAATGCTGCGGCGCCAGCGTAAAGTGTTATTCATTTCAAATTGTTATGTGATCCAGTGTCGAGCATGACGTCACTTGCCGAATGGTGAGAATTCATGTGAAGAGCTGCCACTGTTTCTCAATTCTGGACTTTTCACTCTTCAGTTTCAGTTCTTCACTCGCTATTGAGACTCGGAGGCTGCTTGATAGGCGGAAGGCTGAGGAATCTCGATTAATTCTTCAAAATTTAACCAAAAAAGGAGGTAAGTTGAGTTATTAAATCAGTCAAATCACAGATGTTTTGGAAGCAAAACTCTAAAATTTAGAAATTTAACAACGCAGTCACAATTTCAGCTGCGCACAGAATAATTTCCGTTTCGCAGTGAATTTATATTTGTTATGGTTTAGCTTGAGAATAAAATTCTATTAACATATGTGTTCTCAGTAGTCCTTTCAATTTTAGGTGAATGATAAATTTTTATGGGCTGCAATTATCGATTTTAAAGTTTTATTTTCATGAATTATGCAAATTATGTAATTATATAAACACTAAAAAATTTTTTAATTGGCGCTGTATAAAATAATTAAATACAGGGTGCCTGAGAATATGTGCCGAGATGCCGTCGTATGTAGTACAAAATGTACATTATGTTATGTATTTTGCAGTCCATCGGTCCATAGCAAGCTCACTCACTCTCATTAAAGAATGTTTACACATCGTGTTTGTTGTCGATGATTTGGCTTTTGGCGCTGTTGTGCGTTTGGTTATTCACCAACAGTATCGTGTGAGAAACATAACAAAAGAGTGACGTGACGTGCACAAACAAGTAATATACAGAAGATATAAAAATGAGAAGCGAATTACTTTGCAAGTATTAAATAATTTAAGACCATTAATTAATTAATTTGCTGCATAATTATTATTAAGATAAAATTTTTTTATTAAAAATTACAAACAATAAAATTATTAATCTTTAGCAACAATTAATTTTTATGATTTGTAAATAGCAAGTATACATTGGTATAAATTCAATTATTTTTTACTTTAGAGCACATTTTTTTTGGTACTTAATTTCTCTTTTTCTTGATTAATGAAATGATGAGCTTCCTCAAGACCATTTTGATTGCAATGATAAACTATTCAATGAGTTATTTATTGTTGTTTCTTCCTCTTTTATTTTATTATTCATTGTTCTAGGCATAGATATTGTGAATTTATTATTGAAATTAGAAAATATTGCCAAAAAAATTAGTTTTAATTAAATAAAAAATTGAATTAAGTGTAATTAAAATTTTACCATTCATATCTGACGGCCGCTTTTTTTTTTTTTTGCTCGCTCGCTCAGTTTTTAGACTGTTAATGACTAAAGATAAATATATTATTAAATTTGTGATCATATTAAAAAAATTAATTTGCAAACACATTATACGTATAAATTTATAAGAAATCATCTCAAGATAAATTTGGGGAGGGCATTAATATCTTGTAATATAGTTAATTGGATCACAGACTGTGAAAATAACTAGATAGGCTGTTTTCTTTTGATTTTTATTTTGTAAAAAAAGCGGTAAATAGACAAGCTTGGTTTTCTCTTCATGATCATGTCGCTTTGGGGTGCGCAATTTCTTCTCTTTAAATTGTTTTTCATTTTTCTTTGTTAATTTTTTTTTTTATTCAAAAGCATTTTCTAATTAAGGATTGATAGTATGCAAAATTTGTTATTCAGATTTATAATTTATTAAATTTTTCAGGTGCGATGGAGTTTTTGGAGTTTCAAGAACAATACAAGGGACTGGACTTGAGCCTGATGGTAGCCATAGAGGACCACAGTTGCTCAGATGCTTGACCTTCTGTCCCAAGCTAAAATCAACCTTGCTGCCAAAGATGTCCACGGCTGGACTGTCCTGCACCACGCCGTCAGCAAAGGTGATGTAGATATTGTTAAGATTTTGGCACTGGCCGAAGAAAAACTTCTCCTCGAAGAAAGGACTTTGGCTGGCTCGACTCCTCTTCACCTTGCAGCATCTGGCACCAATCTAGATGTGTGCATTTGCTTAGTGGAACTTGGTGCCAATCTCATTGCGGAAACTGCTTTTGGTGAAAATCCTCTTCACCGTGCCTGTCTGAAGGGCAGTCCGATGATAGTGCAGTACCTGCTTGGTCTTGGATGTTACTACGGCATGGAAGAAAATTACTTCGGATATACGATTTGGCATTTGCTGGCGATGGCGAATCGCATGGATGTTGCTGAAGTGTTATTAGATGACCCAAAATACGGATTGAACTGCAACACTCCTGGTGGCGACGGATGGACTCCCATTCTAATTGCTGTACAGAGGTCTGAGGTTGATTTGGTCCGATTGTTTGTAGAACACGGTGCTGATTTGGAGGCGGAGAACTGCTTTGGCCACGATGCCCTTCTTTCTGCCTGCATAGGAGGTAAAGCTGAAAACGTCGAGTTTCTTTTGAACTGCAAGAACTTTGATTTGGAGAAGGTGGATGTGAAACACCTCACAGCTCTGCACTTGGCCACAATTTCAAAACAGATAGATGTGGTTAAGTTGATCTTAGCTAGAGGTGCCTACATTGAAAAACGGGGAGGTATTCGCATGGTGACTCCACTTCTATTATCAGCTGCCTTGTCAAATGTGGAAATCTTCTGTATTTTGCTTGAGAATGGAGCTGATATAAATGCTGAAGATGAATACAATCATGATGTGTTTCTTATGGTTTGCGGAGGAGGACGATTGGATATTCTGAAATACTTGGTTGAGACCATCAATTACAGATATGACTTAAATAAGAAGAGTATCAATGGAAAAACTGCTTTCATCAAGGCTGGAAGAAACAAGAGCTTGGAGGTGAAGAAGTATTTAGTTCAACTGGGTGCTGATATTCAAGATGTTGACAACTTCAATTTGACTGCCATCACTGTAGCAGCCCAGTTCTCTAATGTTGAATGCTGTCGGTACTTGTTGGAAATTGGGGTCAACCCACAAATCCGAACCAAAATTGGAACCAACGCTCTTCACCAGGCTTGCATTTCAGGCAACATTCAGACTGCACAGTTTCTACTTGACAAGCAACTGTTTGACATCAACGCCACTGCCATTGGAAATACCACAGCTCTGCACCTCGCGGCTGAACGAAGTCACTCTGATTTGGTTGAAATTTTGTTGGACAATGGCGCTGATGTGAAGGCTCATAAACTGAATGGGCAGCTGGCTTTCCATGTGGCCGCCAAACGTGCAGACCTCAAAACAGTGAAAGTATTTATGGATAAATTTCCAAGTCTTCTGGAGGAAAGGACCAGAGCTAAGGAGACTGCTCTCTTGCTGTCTTGCCAAAATAAAAACTTGGATGTTATTCAGTATCTAATCGAGTGCGGCTCCAACTTAGAAGCTGTTGATGAGTATGGAAATAACGCATTGCACCTGGCATGCAAAGCAGGAAATTTTCCAACCGCCCAGTTTCTCTTTTACGAGATGGGTTTTGATGTGAAGCTGAAGAACGATTACCTGGACAGCACAGTCCACTTAGCTGCCTGGGGTGACAGCATTGAATTATTGGAGTGGCTGGTCACTGAGCTTGAAATGCCAATGGATGAGCAAACCAAGTGCAAACAAACGCCTCTCCACTTGGCAGCAAAGTACGGAAGTGCTGAAACCTGCCGCTGGCTGATTGATCGAGGCGCCGACCTGCGGGTCATCAAGAACAATGGCAAGAACTTACTGATGAGCGCCTGCAACGGAGGAAAGTTGGAAAATGTCTTGCTTTTTCTCGGCCTAGGCGTATATAAAATAAACGATAGAGATAGTTTTGGCCGGACTGCCTTCCACCTTGCGGCTAAGAAAGGCTGTTTGAAATTGATTACATATTTAGTCGAGAAATATAATTGCAATACAATGGACATCGACCGAAGGAACTCTGAAAATGCCTTGCACGTTGCTGCAAAATCCAATAACATTGAAGTGGTTCAGTATCTGGTCTGTTTAAACAGGAAGCTACTGCTGAGCAAGACCAGCTACAATAAACTACCAGTAGACATGGCCAAATCAAACCAGAGGAAAGAGGTGCTGAGCTATTTGCAGTTAGAAACTGCCAAGGAAATGGACCTGAACAACCATCCAGTTCTTCCAGTTGCACCTCGGCAGCTCACACCACGTCAACAAGCACCACGTCATGAGCTTGAACCAAAATTGAACTACAACTGGAGAAAATAAATGTAGGCTTATCCTGTGTATCAAATTCATATCATTTTCTAGGAAGAAAAAACGAGAAGAAACGATTTTTAATTTAAAAATATCACATCAAAGTTTATTTTTGTACCTCGCAATTTCTCGACATCAATACAATATACAAATTTATAAAATTTAGTGAAAAGAATTTTTATAATTTTGAATTTATATAATAATTTCAATTAATTTATGAAAAAGTTTGAAATATTTTATTTGTATAGCCTCTTACAATTTGCTTAAATTATCTGTCACTAACGTAATGACGTTCTTCGACCTAGAACACGATTTTCCCATAAATTTTACACACGGTTAGTTTAGTGTATGGTTTTCACGTGTCGATTGTTAGGCGTGCATTGTTGGCGGCTGAAATGGGGTGGCCTCGAGAGACGATCCATCACAGGCGCTGCCAAACGGCAGTTGACAAATGGTCGTTGGAGAGCAGCGTTAGTTATTTTAATAAAATTACGGCCCGCGGCGTGAAAAGCCAAATTGGCTCGACGCAGCGAGACGGGCCTTTTATTTTGAGCAGTTGACCGGAGAGTGAAACACACACATTATCGATTGACAGGCGATTAGCAAAATTATTTTGGAGGGGACAATTTTTTTTAGTACCTGCAACGTTCTGCGTGTCTCTTTCGGCTGCAAAATAAATTCCAACCGTCAGCCGGCGAGAAATGCAAATGAGGCAGTTAATTATTTCGCGTGTGTGCTGTACCAAGAGAGGAAGAAATTATTTGTGCGCGCGCCGTGCTGCCACGACACGCCAGAGGGCGATAATTCTCCAAAATTAGCAATATTTGCTGATGAAGGAGAGACAATTATTTCCAGCTGACTTGGCGCAAAACACACAAGAATAGGAAGCAGTTCTTGCTAAAAGTCAACGCACAACTTGGTAGCGAGCTTCAGTTTGTCTAAATGCGGTTATATTCATATATTTCTGCCCTGTCTCAAATTTTGAGAGCGAAATGCCACTCCCAATTTTCTTTTTAAAATTATTGCAAAGGTCTTGCAACAAGTATTTTCTTAATGAATGATTTCTTTGTTAAAAATTATTTTAAATTCACTAAATGTTTTTAAAGCTAAATAAGTAATGTTTTGTTCAAGCTGCTGTCGAAAAATATCTTATTAATAATATTAAATTTTTTATTTTTTAAATAAATTAAAATTAAAATCATTCCTGTATCTGTTCATCTCGTCTAGTTTGTGAATTTAGGCTTTTGCTCGGGCGCCGCAGTGAAATCGATCCGATTCAATTTCCTGCTTCGATTCATTTCACCTCGTTTGCCGCGGCCGAGATGTGTGCCCCAGACTGGCTCGTCTTCGCGAACTATGCAACCGGCGCGACACGGGCGGTGTGCCTGTCACATACCTTGCGAGTCGGCAGGCGCTCCTCGGCCGCAAACCGCAGCCACGAGCTTGGCTGTTGTCGTGCGGAAAGTCGGCGCGCAATCGAGTTAGGAAACAACTCACGAGCAATTTCGTGTGGCCCAAATTGACACCACGGCTTAAATGTCCAGAGAAGAGTTTTGCAATATGAAAATATTGAATTTTTAATTATGCAAAAGTGTTCTTTAAATTTTTTTTAGGAGTTTCATCAAATATTTAGCCTACAGAGGCTTTAATTTCTGAAAAACTTTCAAATTTTTTTTCCAGAAGCGAATAGTTTATGAGAAATTACATAATATTTTCTTCTCTCTGTATAATCAGAAGGGACGGCACCGCATTTTTCAGGGGAGAAAACTGCAGGAGGGGTGCAGAGGCAGAAGAAGTGCATTCTGGTCGAGTGAGCGAGTCGCTTTTCTTGTCGCTCGGCTTTTGATACGACGACTTTTTGTTGCAGTTGATCCGCTCGTAAAATGGCCCATTTTTCCTCATGCCAAAATAAAATCCCCGAAGGTGATCCTCGCTGCATGGTAGAAGGGAAAAAAGAAACACAGAAAAGAAGAGCAGAGTAACGTTCGCTCAACCAATGCTAACAATAATCAGAAACGACTTGCGTTTTTCCTGATGCTGACAAAATGGGCAGTGTTTGTTGAGATTTTTTTTCTCCAAATTATGGTAACTTTCATTGAAGTAAAAAAATGATTTAATTAAATAAATAACAGATTTTACCAAAATGCAATAATTTTTTTAATCTTTTATTTTTTAAACACAATTATTAAATCAAGTAAAATTGTCACTATTAGAACAATCATTAAAAATGAATAACTATTATTTATTTAAATCAATTTAACCAGAAAGTTGTTCAACTTATTAATTTTTTTAGCTTTTCCTGTACTGAAATGTTACAAGTTTCTGACACTGCCCTTATTTTACGAGTTGTATCTTTTCTCATTGAGCATCACACACCGTCATTGAGACTGAATGGCGCCGAAGTGAATGAGTAATTATTATCGCCTTCTGTCAAGTTCCCTCTTCGTTTCCCCGCCCGGGACACGCAGGTGATTTGTAATTTTTGCTCCTTGGTTTTTTCCCTCTTTCTTCATCGAGACGGACGAGGTCGGATTTTGCTCAGCGGCAAAAACAAAGGCGTGTCGCCGCCGAGAAGCAAAAAGCCAGCGAATCAATCTCGTTGCTTTCAGAGAGGTTGCCTTTGTTTTGTTTGAGCAGAAGGAAAAAAAATCAGGATCTTAATTCCTTTCTCGGAAGCCTCTGCTCATATTCCGGCCATTAATCACTTTCTTTATACGCGTTTTGTCGCCCGCGCCCAATTATTAGAACGGCACAGCAGCCACCGCGTCTTTTTGTAAGCCACACTTTTTATATCCTCCGCGGAAACTCTTTGAAATCTGTCTTCTTTGTTTCTGCACGAAGATAAAGGATCTTGTTCTTTATGAGTTTAATTAGATGGCTTTTGATTTATCAAACGTTACTAATGAAACCTCTTATAATGTTATCAACAACAACATTTTCTGAAACAATATTTTAAAATTTCGATTTTAATAATATATCAAAAGTTTTAGAATTTAACTAATTCTAATTGATATAATGAAATTTTCAGAGAAATCTTGCCTGTTTGTTCTTAAAGAGTTCTTTTGAATTAGAAGAAGAAAAAAGGTAATAAAACTAAATTGGTAACAAACAGGATTATTAATTTGGTTAAAAATCGATCGTCTCTAGAATTTGTGGTGTCATTATTTAAAAATAAATTATATTTAATTTTACTTTGTCGTTCAAAAGGTTCTTATTTTGAGCCATCCAAAAATTAGCAAATTTTTACAAAAATTACCAGCTTTAAATGGATGAAAACTGATTATTTAAGTGGAATATTAGCTTAAAATAGGGAAAGTTTAATTGTATTAAGTAATTCTGAAAGAAAATAGTCTGCTATCAAATTTAATTTCCAATATTTGTTTCTGATTTTTGAGTTTGTTAATGATCTGTTAGTTGCTAACAATAATTAAAACTTCAGCAAAAATTTTATCAACTCCATTAAAAAAAAAAATACGATCTTTTTATTTCAAGCAATGGAGTCATGCCAGAATTCAATCAAAATAAAAATTTTCATCGTTAATTTCATCTCTTCATCTTCAACTTAAGCTTATAATTGAACCAAGTAATAATATTTTAATAATATCTTAAGTAAATAGTTCTTTATTTTCCAGTCAAAATATAAAATCAGAAATTCTGCAATGCGCATGATAATAATTGGTCATATTTAAATTTATTCACGCATAAACTTTGCACAGAAATGATATTTTTGCCCTTTGCCAGTGCAAAAGTGGCACGATTGTGAGCGCGTAAACAATTCACAGCATCAACAAACACGAACACCACATCAACTTCTGTCTGGTGCAGCAGGTGAGGAGGGCGGCGACACGTCGAGATAACACTTGGGGCGAGAAAAGACAATTTCCCGTGTCGTGTCACGTCGCCCGGTTGAGGCCTTTGAGGGACAGGTTGGTCGGGAAAGTGCTGCGGCTCTGTTTACCTGATTGTTAATTGATTAATTTAAAGTGAACCCGTCCGACATCATCATCAGCAGCTTCTCTTGAAATGGCAGCTTTTCTCTGTCTCAACTTTGCACTTGACACAAGCCACGGAGCGACACGAGGCCGACGGTTGCGTCACCCGAGTCAATATTTAATGAGCCTGCCTTTTGAGAGCCTTGTGGGAAAACGCGTGCTGGCGCAAAATACGAGCGCTGCCCGCGATAAATACACGCAGACAATATCGAGTGGGAAAAATCTGCAAAACCTGCACAGAGATTTAGAGCGAAGGATAACAAAAGATAGAAAAAATTGATAAATATTGCTCTATTTAAAAACTGTTACTCCTTTTCTATCATTGAAAATTAATTACACAGATAGCGTTTTTTTTTATTTAATATGTGAGAAATAGAAGAAAAAAAATTATTTAAAAAGGATTTTAAATTATATTGATTATTAAATGAATTAGATTTGCCAGCTGGATGCAAAACGAACTGCAAATGAATTTTTTTTATTGTAAAGAATCACGTACAATGTTTGAAAATGACTAGATCAACTTTTAATTTCATTTAATTTAAACCAAGTTATTGGAATACATACTTTAAAATCATAGAATACAATTCAAGCAGACCTTTAGGTCAAAGAAATTTATTGATGATAATTAGTTTTTAACTAATACTTTGTTCCCCTTATTTTTTTTTAATTCATTAAATCTTAACTCAAGATTTCAGTACAAATTTCCACAATTTGCCAATGGAGTTCAAAAAATGTTTTAATAATATTTAATCAAAAAATTAAAATTAATAGTAAAAAACACATTTAATTAAATATTAAAAATAGGCAAAAATGATTTTTTTTAAATAATAAATTATTTATAATTAAACTTTAAGTAATAATTTAGTATAAATTTTCCCTGCAAAACAATAATGTCAAAAATGACATTGATTGCTGTATTTAAAATTTATAAACCACTTATTAATCCACTTATTTGGCTAATTATATTGAATTTCTAAACATTTAACTTAACCTTTTTCATTAGAAGCTACAATTCAGACATTCAATTTCTTATAGTCATTCAATTTCTTTCTACCACTTTTTTTATCATTATTATCATTCACTGAAAACAACACGAAGTATAAGAGTCAAATTCTTAGTTAGAAATTTATTTCCAAGAATCAATACAAAAGATACAATAGTCTGTGATGATATTTGAAGTTGACGCGGTTGTAGAATTGAAACACCTGGATGGTTTCAAGCACATCCACAAGCGTATCAATTCTAAGCCGCGTCTCCTCCTCTGCGTCCAGCAAATCATTTTCTCCGTGTGTCGACGCCTCTGGCTGTAAATAATCATTAGAATCAAGTTTTGATTTAAATGCAATTAAACGTGCGAATCGGAGCGGAAACGGCGTGTGAGGTGCAGTCAGGTGAGCGAGTATCAATTTCAGGGATGGCTTGGCGTTCCGTTTAATTAGAGCAGGGAGAGCTGAACAATTAATCAGACACACTGGCATGTTTACTGAACAATGTGATTTATTGATAGGTCTGCATTATGGTCTACATGCTTCGATTATACACAACTAAGAGTGGTCGCTATATTTGTCAGAGAGAGGCCATGTTTGTGGCTGCCAAATCAATCCGTAGCGCAATTCGACATTAGGTTTATTGTGTTTGGTCTCTGAAAGTTCATATAATTCCACCGCGAAATGAGGAAAACGTAAAAAGTAGAAGCTTTTCTATGGTCCCTCCGCTGCAATTATTTCGCAGAGTAACCGATACTTTTCTCATCAGCCGCGCGGAATTGTGTTTCGGCGGCCGGAAGAAAAGAAGAGAAATATTGATGTCGGTAGAAAATAATAGGGGTTTTTATTATTTACTGCGAAAGCTGAAATTACATGGAAAATGGTCTCCGTCGCACAAAGAGAATCAAAGAGTCTGAAAATCTCCAAAAAGTAAAATACTTACAGACCCACATTAGTATTTTTTTTTTCGTTTTAATTTTGAGAGAACATAGACGAAATTTGCTGATTGATGTATAAAATCCGCACCTTTTGTGATTAAGCAATCACGGCGAATTTCTCTCAAGGTTCGAATTCATTTTGCGAGAAACGTAGGCAAAAATCTGAGAAATCCCTTGTCTGAAGTTAAAGTGCGTAAATATTGTCACAAAATTTGTTTTCTTATAGAAAAAAAATAATAAAAACTAATTAATGCGAGTGCTATGCGAGTTTAAAATCCTTCGTTAATTAATTATTTTATAGTATTTCCAGTTTTCCAGGCTATACAAGAGAATAATAATAATTAATATTAGAATTTTTGAATAATAATAAATAATATTAGAATTGTGACAGATAATTATTTAATTTTCAATTTGTGATGTAACAATTTAGACAAATAAACAATTTTCTAAAAAAAATTTTAAAATTTTCAGACTCTTCAAGTGCGATATCTTTTTGCTTTTGTTTTCAATATGTCACCGCTCTTGATCTATTTAAGATTTTTGTTTATCTTGCTGCTTAAATATTTTTTTATTTTTTTATTATTAATCAAAGATGAGTAGGAAAAGTGTTCATTATAATTCATGCGTCCTACTGCACTACTGATTCTCAAGACGGATAAACAAAGCAGTTTTTTTTATAACACGACGATTTATTTTAGCTTTGAAATGCGGCGCTGACCCATGCACTACCTAGTGCTCTTAAGGGATATGTTTTATACGAGTCGTAGCAAATATTTTGAAATTATAAAATCTTGATAAACACGCATGGGTCAAGCGGGCTTTTTTAATGGAAATCTTCTCATAATTTGCGGCGAAAGCAGCCATAATATTTATATGTTGATATAATTCTTTAAATTTTTTAATGGTAACAATAATGAAGCATTTTATTTATTATCTTAAGAAGCCAAGATTTAAGTAGAATCAAAGTGAAATTGCGTTAATTGAAGGCGTGTATACAAGCTTAAAGAGTTTTCACTCGTTTCTCTGTGATTTACAGTATTTGTAGTTCAATTTTGTGTGAATTTTTATTTTTAATCGTTCTTTATTTTTCATCAATTTACGACACACACAAGTGAGTGACAATTTTGCCTCGGTTAGTTTTAATTATTTTTGTTAGGAGAAGCGAGTCGATATAAATATACATGCAGAGATAAAATTGCTAGTGAAATAAGAATGCAAATTGAAGAATCGTCGTCCAGTTCTATTTACAAGCGCAGAGAAATGCTCCGCTTATCCCATTTTATTCCGCTTGCTTGTGTATAATTTGTGTTATATTTACTTGTTATTTAGTACAATGATTAGTATTGCCTAGGGAGATGCATTATTATATTGTGAGTGTAATTTTTCTCCAAACTCTCCTCACGGGTGAAAGCATTTTTTTTTCACAATAAACCGCACGGTCTTAACTCGGTATATTAAAATTTGAAAAAGATGGTCGACCGTAGACACAAATCAAACCCTGCAAACGTGATTGCCTAGAGCAAAAGTGTTTGTGTAAATTTTCCTCCATTTTTTTAAATTGTCTAAACACTTGATATCAAATATAGCGTTCAAATCAAAATATCATTTTTTTTTGCGTTCGGTTCATCATGATATTACATTCAGAGTATGTGAGTGTGTGTTTTTTTTTTATTAATATGTGTTAAATGCCTGTCGCTACGATTTTAGTTTAGTTGTAATATATAATTTTACACAATTTTTGTTATTCAAAGCGATGCGTGCATACACTGAAAAATTACAGACACTCGTCGTCGGTACAAATTGTTCCTGGGTCCGATTTTTGCTTCGCAAAAACAGCGGGTACCATTTATTTATTTTTAATCATTTCTCCAGAGGGTTTCTTGAGTAACAAACCCAAGCGGGCAGATCGCTTGTGTGCAGACCTCGGGCGAGTTTTTAGAATGTTTATCACAACGAATATTGCGTCGGGAACGAAAATCTACAGAATTAAAAAGTTTTTTGCAGAGTGTGATTGGGCGGGAAAAGTACAATTCGATACATAAATCATAAATGCACAACATTGAAATACCGTCAAAGTCTCACACTCATCTATGTAGACAAAAATTAATCTAAAAACTTTTAACTAGGAATCAAGTGGCGCCTCAAACGGTCAAAAACGGAACTGATGTCGGATCTAACTCAAATATTATTATATATATTTGCATCCATTCTTCTCGCGTCATAAAATCTAAATCTAAAATTTTAGAATGAGTTTCGCTGCGGCTGCCGGTGGTTGCAGGTGAAGGTGTTGGCAGGGGTGAGGGTGGGCGAGCGTCGAGCTGAGGTCTTCTAGAAGCGCTCAGGGTGGACTGGTGAGAGACGAAGGGCCGAAAACCGCAGCGTCTGAGCCGAGGCCGGCGTCGGCCAGCGGCCTTAGAGGCGCAGCGCGAGGCCGACGGCCACGGTGGCCAAGAACCAAAGGCCGGGGGCTGACGTCACCGAGGCCGGATTGCAGCCGTCCTCGTTGCAGCAGTAAACGTACGTCCCGTATTCTATTTCTGCAATCACAAAAAAACATTATTGATGCTAACATTTGTTATTTATAATAAACATAAATTTAATTATAAAAAAAATACTTACATTTATATGTAAGTTTCAAACTTTCATTAGCTAATTTTGGCTTATTTGGTGATTAGTTGACCTTTCCACCATTTATTTAATATTTTTAATTAATAAGTATACGAGTAATTTTCTTTATTTTCTGCTCCTTTTTATTTTATCTTTCCGAAAAAGTTCAAATGCTTCTGGCGGGAAAATGGTGAAGTCTAGTGTCAAAACGCTTGAGGGTGAAAATTTATCGATCATAATTATGATGTTATAAATGGAAAATTATCTGCTAACATTATTAAGAATTTAAAAATTTTAACGTGTTTGGTCTTTAAATTATGAATTATCCCTATAAAAACTCATTCATTTCTGAATACAAACCTTTTTTGCAAAGGTCTGAAGGAAAAAAGACTAATCCCTGGATTAAAAGCTTATTTAAGCGCCGAGTGCTGGATATGACACAAGAAGCTGTTTGCTCTCAGTTTAGCGAAATTGAGAAACTTGAGCCATCGAAATAAACAGCGTCTCTATCCAAGTTGGTATTTTTTTCTTCAAACAAACTTGGACCATCCACTTTAATATGGCGCGATTATGCCGTGCCGCAATTACAGAAAATAGTATCTTTCCAAAGCAGCAGGTCTAATAATTTTCCGGCAGATAAAGTATAAAAAGCGGCGCACCGGAGAGAGAGAGACTCTCTGCATATGTTTTTAAACCGGCAATTTAAATTTTATCCCCGCAGGAGCGCGCAAAAAAGGCACACGGCGCCGGCACACGTTCACATTATTAGATTTTGCGGAGAACTTTGCGCGAGCCGAGTCCCAATAGAGCGAATTTGGCTCCGCCCTGCTCTCGTTTTTCCTCCAACTTTTTGAACTCGGGCCGGACAAAGGAGGATTTTTGAACATGAAAATTATATACTCACTGCTCTCCTTGCACTCCTTGATGCAGTCCCGCACTTGGCTGCTCCCGCTCACGTATTTCTGCAACAATCCAGCATAATGTGGCGTAATCAAATCCGACAAACACATTTCACTTTGGCAAATTTAATTTTCAAAGTTCAAAAGCAGCTCTCGCAATTAATGCAAACAGCATTCCGCTGTCAAGCGAGCGTGAGATGAATTATGGACCTAATTTTGCGCGCAAAGTTGCTGCGCGGCAGGCAGAGTGCCAGTTTGAAAAGCGCGAGTTGCATTGACCGTTCCGCAATTTTAGCTCTGCCGCATAATTTGCACACACGTCGCAAAGAGGGAGGGTCTGCCGAGCGAGAGTGCAGGCAATTTGCTATGCTTTCCAGACAGGTCGGTTGCATACCTCCATTCAGTCAGTTAATTCAGACAGGGCGCTGACAGATATTATGTTTCTGGTTACATTCGAAAGAAGGAGTAAAATTCCGACAGACAATTCTGCATTCGTAATTAATTATCGGAAATTATTTTTGTGCTAAATAGTGTTATGAAAATTAAATTTGTTAAGAATTATGTGATATAAAAAAATAAATATAATAAAAATATACCAATTCAACTTAAAATTTTCTAATTCCTTTTTTTGACTGGCTAAATCGCAATAATAATTAATAAACTTGTTAAATTTATCATATCTTTTGAGAAAAAAAGGAAAACTTGGTTTAACTGTCTGTGACTGTGATTAGGTCTAAATTTCAGAAATTAAATCATGATTATTTATTAAAATCAGATTGTTGTTGTCAAGTGTTCTGGTTGAGCACAACTTTTTTTAGTGTTTTTCTTCAGCAGTGGAATTTTTAAACTGGTAAATTTTCTGCTGATGGAAATATTGTAATATTTTCAGTTTTGTTTACACTTAATTAAAATAAATTTAATAAAAAACAAAAAATATGAAGATTTTATTATAAACTGGCTTAAATTCAGAAACTCCCTCAGAGACTTGAGCCCCTTTTTGTTTGCTGCTTTTTTTTACGACCGAAATCTTTATGTGGCTTTTATTAAAACGGATCCCGGCCTATTTAGGCCTTGCATTATTTCCACGTCTAAATCCAGCCACTTGAGTAGAATTTATTTGTTCCCAGATCGATAGATAGCATGTGACCATTCCGACTGCACAAACAATCCCGCCGAGCTATTTATGCAGACGCAAAAAATGCCCTGGTTGATAAGGGAGTCAAGAGCTAATTTCGCCTCTGGTGACAAAGGAAAAGGGCCCTCGAATTTATCGCGGCCCGCAAATAGAACCACTTTGCCGCAGACGAAATCTTTTGCCGGGGGTTGTTAAGCGTTCGAGATCGGCGATAGCGCCGGGAACCCCTTCTTTTTCAATTTGCGGGGCGAAATTATTTTTGCGGCCATTAAGTGCGAGAACGCCGATCGTAATTCAAATTCTGGCACACTCTTGATTTTACTGCGGGGGACGAACGATTTCACTCTCCTCAAATTGCGGTCCGTTTTATTGGCAGCGATAAAATTCGTCCCATCTCTGACCTCGAAATTGACAAACACGCGCGTTTTTCTATCAGGCAAGATTGGCTTTGGCGGACGAGAGAGAAAAATTGCGTCGTCCTGAAGCCTGCGCGTTATATTGATGGGCTTGTCATCCGAGATATTAATAACGTGCTTCGCGAAAGTGCTCCAGGATCATCAATAATAAATACATAATCAACTCTTTAAGGCCTAACTTTGCGATCCGACACGCTCTATAAAAAGTTTTCGCAATTTTCAACCCTGATGAAATTTTCATATGCCAATAAACGCGAAGGTAAAAAAAGGTTAAATTTTTTTTATTAGAAAGCTCATCTAAGCCGGTAAAAATTTTTACGTAGTTTTAAAAACAGACTATTTAAACATAAATTTTTGATAATTGTTAATTTATAAAAAAAAACACAATAATATTTATTTTAACTTTTTTATTTATTAAGTTTATTTTGGGGTTTCTATAGAGCAATAATTTTATTCTTGAAATTAAAATTAAACATGATTGTTTTCAAAATCGCGAATATTATTGTTTATAAAAAGATACAATATGGAAACAATAAGTTCATGGATAAAAAATTTGTATTCATCTTAAAAATTGAAGTTAGTCTAAATTATAACAAATTAAATTTATTTTATATCTGCCATGATGTGGTTCAATACTTTGAATTAATCTGATTCTAGATTTGACTCAAACCAAACTTTTCATAATCGTTTTATACGTCATTGGGAATTTTAATATCTGTCAAACTACCAAAGAAATTCATTTTGATCGCTCGCAAAAACTATCCTTCACTTCGTCTCTGTCTTTGCTCCAGCGACAGATTTTTCTTTGAAGGGAAAAACGCTATTTTCCGGTGTGCCAATAATAAATCAACGGTCCTATATATAAAGATTATGCTGCGAGCTTTCTTTGTTTGAGATAAGCAGCCAGCGGAGCAATAAATATTTGCGAGATTAAAAACGACCAGTCTCTCTGGTGCACATATATAATTTTTTACTCGCGGCGAATGCCAGCCAGATAATAATAACATTTGTGTGACACACTTTTCAGAGAGGGATGGAATAAATTTTCATTTTCGCCACTATCAAAGCGCTGCTCGGCTAGTTGAGTGTGTCAGATAAACGATTCCCTTCTATTTACCGCGCAACCTGCTCTTTTTTATGCCGCTTTTTATCGTCCAACGCCAACCTGATGGCTTTCTCGCAATGCAATATATTACTTTTCCCAAAAAGCAATTTACGGTAACGTACAAATGAATTAACTGAGTGTGAGACAATTTAGACAACTGGAGAGAAAAAGCTTCATATTTTCAAATACGAGTTAGAAATGCATATTAATATTATTGATCACAGATTTCTTTGTCAATTTTATTTGAAAATAGCAATTGCATAAATATGAAATCTTTACCTCTTGAATAAAAACTTTTGAAAGTGTTTTAAATTTGTGCTCCATCAAAGGGTGCAGCTAAGCAATTTACACTAACATTTGGTGTCCTTAGTAGGTATGAAAACCCTTAAAAAACAAAATATTCTAAATATATTTCTATTTGAAAAGATTAAATTGTAATTAAATTTTTTTTACTTTAATTTAATCAAAATCAGCCTTCGAGGGACCTCAAGTTGCATTTTATTTTAGTATGTCAGGAAATATTGAAAGTTATTCATATCATTTTTTTTTTTTGACAAAAATTTAAAAAAGTAACAATAATAATAGCAAAATTGAGTTCTTAATTTAGGATCTTCAATCTAAGATTTTGATCTGTGTTTTGTTTTCTTTCCCTTTGAAATGTATTCCAAACTGATATGACTAAGAGAACTTCATTTTTAATCTCTTTGAAAAAAGATATATTTTTAAAAATAATCAATGCATTTAAGTTATTCCTCATTATATAAATTCTAAAGCAATTTTTTGCTAAAAAAAAATTCTGGGAAATACCTTTAAAACGAATAGTGGAAGGCCTACCAGACCGTTAAAAGCGTTTCAAGTAGGACTTAAAGCGAGTGTCGGTTTCACGGTTGATCTCGTCCTGCCTTTTGAACTTTGCAGAATAGTTTAATTTCGTTCGTGACGCGGCTGAATTCTCATTCACTTGTCAGAGTCCTGCTTTGCGTGTCTCTTTTGATCAAACCGGTCGTTGTTTGCATCAAATTATTTCTCTTTGAAAATATAAAAAAGTTATTGTACATATCAAACTGTTATGCACCTGATGCACGACTAAACAGGTATAAAAATCAATTTTCCAATGAAGGAAATTACTCGAGCAAAACGCGAGCTAAGCGAAATGTACAGCGGCTGCTTGCATTTGTTGTGAGAAAAGTCAGAAAAGTGTATAAAAGTTGGATGCATGCAGAGGAAATTGCATTTCCCGGCCGGCGTTTCCCTATTACTTTTTTCGATTGAGCACGAACCTATCTGGATTATTTTTTAAAACGAAGTGTAAATAAAGAGTTCTTATTAAAACTAAAAAGATAAAATGTTTAACCCGGCGGGACAGTGGTTTAAATTTTATCCCTTTGGATTTATACCGGGATATCTTTTATCCCGGGAGAGCTAATTCTATTGAATCTCCCCCAATGTCACTTTACTTTTCACACATCAATTGTTATTCACAAAATGGAAAGAAATTAAGAATCTATAAAATGCAGAACGTCAAAAATTGAATTGATATTTCATTATGTACTCTGAAAGTCCTTATTCATTGTGTTGCTTTAGAAACCCACGTGACCTGCTCGTGCATCACGCCAGCAAGGAAAACTGAAACAATATATAATTGGCCCATTTTTCAGGCGCACACAGACACCCGTGGCGAAACATACCGAAATAGAGCGTGTGACGTCATCGAGCCGAGTAATAAAACGGAATAATGCACGTTGCATGGCTAAAGATCAATTTCCCATCACGAGAGCCTCCGCGCATATTACCACAGCAGCCGTTCATTATAATGGCCTCGCCCATGCACTTGCTGCTTTCCGAAGGGATGATATTATATCCTGCTCTCGCGCTACGTGTGTGAGTTGGTATATTTTCCGGAAAGAGATAACGAAAAAGAAAAAGGTTCCAAATTGCTTATTCTTCAGACCTAATTTCACTTGCATTTATTCGGAGACAAAGAGAGAGATTAGAGCGACTGCAATAAAGACGATAGATTTCTCAAAGGGAAGGTGGCACAGACTTACTCCAAGGTTTGCATATCGAAACTATTAATGGAAATAATCTTGGACTAGGAATGGGTAGGCCATTAACCCATTTCCTAAGAATAGACACTTGATCATGAAAATCATTAATAAAAATAAAATGTAGTCATTGTTTAAACTTTGATTGTTTTAATATTTTTTAACATGCTTAATTTCCAATTATTGAAAATAACAAATAAGTAATTATTGAAGTTTTTATAAAAATTTAATGTTTTTCCATTGAAAATAAATGTTTGAGAAAAATTTAAACCGATCTTTCACTGAAAAGCTAGTAGTGTCTTTTGTGCTAAAAGGTTTAGAGCAGTGTCAGGATTTGAGTTAAAAATTAAATTTTAATGATC